TTTTTTATTTGTGCTATCATTATTAATTTCTTTATTTGTTCTTATTTTATTACTGACTGCTTACTTGTCATTTTTTATTCAATTCAAAGTTTGAAATCAAGCTATCTCGTGCTACTGCACCAAAATTACCCCACTGTAAAATTAAAAAAACACTGAGTGAGCAAAAATTTGTGAGATAGCTAGTTATAATGGTAATTAAATAATGTTTACATATGTATAGAAGCCTACATTAAAATCTGTCATATAAATTGATCTCTTCATTAGAAATTAGCCTACTGATTGCCACCATTGATGGACAAAATTTTTTAATAATATTAAAAATATCTGTATGACATTATATTTCTGCAGTTCTTCCCTGTTGTACCGAATATCTATACTTTTCAAATTATCATATCGAAGTTAGAAATTCTAATATTGTGACAAAATTAATTTTGAAGGGTGCCACAACTTTGTTAAAATTTCCAAAGGGTGCCGCGACTAAAAAAAGGTTGGGAAACACTGATTTAAGACACGAAAATACTTGCCGAGATAGTTATTTTGAGATAATTTTGCATGTATGTCCGTTCAAGCGAAAGAGGAATCAATTCTGTGTTCGTGCTCTGCCTGAAACGCCGCTCTGTATGTGCGCGCGAGCACTGAACTGAATTCTTCATGCGCATGAAATTGGTAAGACTTAGAAACATGTGTAAATGATAAAGTATGACCCATTTCACCCCTACAAGCGAGTGAACAACGCGAATTAAGGAAGGGATTTTATTTCACTATTCAAGATAGCCCGTCGGGCAGGGCAGTGATGCATTTTGGTAGCCCGACTGGAAAACACAATAGCCACGGGACGTCGGGCTAGCGATTTTGCGAGCCCTGACTACAAATATATGAAAGATGAGGCTGTTATAATGTTCACAGGTATTCACAGAAACAGGTACTGTTTTTGTTCATGAAAATAAATGTATAATCTGCATCCTAACTCAAGCTCCTGCTACTCTCAACTCAAGCTACTGTCAAATGTGCATTTCTAAAACGTGTAATATTATTAGTATAGCATGTGCATATACATATATAAATTTAAATATATGTATATATATAAATGTAAATATATGTATATGTATATATTAAATATATATCCATATATGTACATGGGGGGGGCCGAGGAAAAAAGTTGGGAACCACTGATCTAGCTCATACATCAAACATGCATAAATATATGCAGACTGAGGTTTACGCCTCGTCTGTACAGATTATCAGAGTTTACTCATATTTAGGATATCATCAGCAGGTGAGTTCATTCGGATTGTTGTTGAACTGTCCGTCCTTTCTGAGGTGATGGGCAGCAGGGGTCACTGTTGTTATCTGTTACACCCGTAAGTGATCCCATGTCAGCTGTCTGTCTCTAGGTTTATTTAACATCAGCCTTGGATTAGACTTCTATTATTTTTATTTCCTGGTGTATGCCTGTGACTGACTGAATCATAGTGCTAGAAGAAGTGAAATGGCATTTTATATTAGTGGCGTTTAGTTCAGTTTTGCTGTATGCAGCCTGAGCTTGCCTTCCTAGTAACTATGGGAAGTGTAGATGATGTATATACTAAAAATATTTTACTATCAAATAGAATATGTAACGCATGCTTTATTGGAGCACAAATGAATCTAAGAAATTTGCATTTTTTCCCCCCTAAACAAATTCAGCTGATTAAAATGGAACAAAAAATGTATTTATAGATTTATTTTAACTTATGATTCATTTTTAACCTTTTGAAATTGTTCATAATAGTGAATTGGTTTCAGAAATATTCATATATGATTTATTATCATATATGAATTAATTTGTTTCCCAGGAGTCTTCATTAGGCATTTTTATGTGTGCCATTAGTAGTTAAATACATTTTTGGCAAAATACTGCAGTTAGAAATTGTACAAAAAACACTTAATGTTGTAACTATATCTTCTGCCAAAATACTGTCAAACTCTGGTACTTTGATATTAGTCACAAAAATAAATGAATACAATGACAAAAAAAAACACGAACAACCTTTTTTGCACTGTTTAAAAGAGATCCCATGTTAATTTATAAGGCTGTAGTTCAGTTGATTTGTGAATTAAATCCGTTCAAAAGAATGATTCACCTGTTATACCTGTTTAACATATGGTGTAATATAATGTTTGGCCTTTAACTTTCTATTTATAGTCATTGTCTTATGGAAATGGAATTTTAGAGTAGAGGACAGTTCAGGACAAGCCTCTCTTTTACTGATCTAGACTACAAAGAACAGTGGAGCCTTTTGGTGTTCCTGCTTGAGCTTCACAGGGCGTTCTTTGCTCATGAGTGGCCTGAGAGTCTCATGACCTGATGTTTGATATCTGTTAATAAGCTTATGTAAGTGGATCGTTCTTCACAGATACAAACAGCTTTCTGCTTACTTTGTCAGCAGATGTGATCGGCAATTAGCCTATACATACAAGCTGTTTGCCGAAACATCAGATCAAAGATAGCTCAGGATGTCAGACCTTCTGCAGCATTTTACAAGCAAATAAATGTCCAGGTTTTCAGGCTCAATTGGATCTCGCCGCCTCCCTCGCTGTGATGCTGTCTTTCTTCAAAGACCCCAGTAATGGGGGTGAGATGTTTAGACACCTAATGAATCGGTTTAGGGAGTCGTGGTCCGATTTAAAAACATTTCCAGATACATTTCAGTTTTTTCAGTAATGGCGTAGGTGAGCAGTTTGGGTGGCTTGTTGCTGCATTGTTTTTAAAGTAGACGGAATTACTTATTTAATATACCATACCATATTAAAGGGATAGTTCACCCAAAAATGAAAATTCTGTCATCACCCTCATGTCGTTCCAAACCAGTAAGACCTTCGTTCATCTTCGGAACACGAATGAAGATATTTTTGATGAAATCTGAGAGCTTTCTGACCCTGCATAGACCGCAATGCAACTGAAATGTTAAAGGCCCAGAAATGCAGTAAGGATCGTTAAAATAGTCCATGTGACATCAGTGGTTCAACCGTAATTTTACGAAGCTGCAAGAATACTTTTTGTGCGCAAAGAAAACAAAAATAATGACTTTATCCAACAATTCTTCTCCTCCAAATCACGTGTTAATTATGATTATTATTATCATTGTTGCTATTAATAATATAATGACCGATAATAAAATAAATATTTTGTTACTGTTAGGAATAATGACTTATTATTATTATTATTATTATTATTATTATTATTGTCTTGTTGATGATAACAATAATAATAATTATTTGGCTGTTAATAATAGTAGTAATAATAATACAAATTTTTATGGATGCTGTTAATAATAATAATAATAATAAAATTGTTAATGATAATACTGACAATAAATATCGTCTTGTTACTGTTGTTGTTATTGTTGCTGCTTAAAATAACAGTGAATAATAATAGTAACAACTATTGTAAAAAATGAGTTTTTATTTATAAAATATTTATTTAAATATTTGTTGTATATTCATTTATTTTCCTTCCCTATCTTGCAGTCACCTTGTCTCTGATTACAGCTACTTGTAGAAAAATAGCTTGATTTCAAAGCCCTCAAGCCTCCTTCTCTTCCCTTAACAGGAGCTGGTGTCTGACACAAACCAGCATGTGAAGTCTGCCTTGGCTTCTGTCATCATGGGTCTCTCTACCATCTTGGGCAAGGACAACACCGTAGAACATCTGTTGCTTCTTTTCCTGGTCCAACTGAAGGACGAGGTAACCCACCTGGAGCTCGGCCCAGTCTCTCATCTGTCTGTCTCTATTTCTCTTGTGGTCAAAGATCCTTCTGATTGTACTAGAGCAGAGACACCGCTGTTCATTTTCCATGTCTGATAGGTCACCTTGTGTTGGGCTTAAGGGCTGTTTGCTATATTGTCTTCTCTAAGGTTCTTGATTGATGTTCCTTTTATTGGGCTCTTGTCCGTGACCACTCTCTGAGTTGTATTAGCTTTTCGATTGTACTAATAAACTCTTAGTCTGTTTTTAAATGAAGTTGAACTTTGGCCTCAGCTTTCAGCAAGACCATGCCAAACCGAAACCCATCCAAACTCTTTCCTCCAGTGTTTGTGTTCCCTTCTGTTTTATTGGACTCCTCTCGATTGTCAAACACACCATCTGAAAATGTTAAGAGCTGGATTCTGTGAATTCTGCCCTGAAGTGTATTTCCATTGGCTGCTTATCCGCCCGGCTCTGTTTGGCTAACAAACTTTGTTGTTTGTATTTTAGCCAGTCATCACCAAAGTGCACTTGCTCAAGCAAGTCATCAAATATTTGGCAGCATGTATGCATGCGCTGTAACAATATCACATGAGTGTGGCGGCCTCCTAGAGCCATTTAAGGGAAATATAAAAGATGGAGACCTTTTGCTTTCAATAAAATTAATTCATACTTAGAAGAAATTATGGGGACTTTAAAGCTATAAAATCATTGATGACCATGTTTACTTTCTTTAATACACATTTAATATGCTGATCTTTTTCTGCAAGTTTCATTGGTGTTGAAACGTATTGTTATTCCTTATGTTAAAGGGTTAATTCACCCAAAAATGAAAATTCTGTCATTAATTGCTCACCTTCATGTCGTTTCAAACCCGTAAGACCTTTGTTCATCTTTGGAACACAAATTAAGGTATTTTTTGATGAAATCCGAGAGCTTTCGGATCCTCCGTAGAAAGCAAAGCAACTGAAATTTTCGAGGCCCAGAAAGGTAGTAAAGACAAATTAGTGGTTCAACTGTAATTTTATGAAGCTACAAGAATAGACCGACACGGAAGAGAAGATATTGTTGAATAAAGTCATTATTTTTGTTTTCTTTGCACGCAAAAAGTATTCTCGTAGCTTCATAAAATTAAGGTTGAACTACTGATGTCACATGGACTATTTTAATGATGTCCTTACTACCTTTCTGGGCCTTGAACGTGTTAGTTGTGTTGCTGTCTATGCAGGGTCAGAAAGCTCTCGTATTTCATCAAAAATATCTTAATTTGTGTTCCGAAGATGGACGAAGGTCTGATGGGTTTGGAACGACACGAAGGGTGAGTAATTAATGACAGAATTTTCATTTTTGGGTAAACTAGCCCTTTAAAACAAAATATGTAATATAGTGTATATTACTTTGTCAAAATATTTTATTTTCGTTTAGTGTCCTGGTGTCCATCTGATTAAAAAAAAAAAAAGTATTTAAGAATATACAATTTTTTAATATAATTTTTTTCTTATTTTTCTGTAGTGTCCTGAGGTGCGTCTGAACATCATCTCTAATCTGGACTGTGTGAATGAGGTGATCGGGATTCGGCAGCTCTCTCAGTCTTTGCTGCCAGCTATAGTAGAGCTGGCTGAGGATGCCAAGTGGAGGGTTCGACTGGCCATCTTTGAGTACATGCCTTTGCTGGCTGGCCAACTGGTGAGTCTGCGCTCCACTCAAGATCGATTAGTTGTATCTGGGCGGAAAAGGATACTCACTCTCATGTTGTTCCAAACCGTTTGTTTCTTCTGTTGAACACAAAAGATATTTTGAAGAATGTCGTTAACCAAACAGTTGATGATCGCCATTGACTTCTGTTGTATTTTTTCCATACTCTGGAAGTCAATGGCTACCGTCAGCTGTTTGATTACCAACATTCTTCAAAATATCTTCTTTAGTGCTCAACAGAAGAAAGAAACTTATACAGGTTTGGAACAACTTGAGGTTGAGTAAATGACAGAATTTTTATTTTTGGGTGAACTACCCCTATAAGCTCTAAAATGACAGAGTGATTTGGAAACACGTGGGAATGAGAAATGGGTGGATTGTTACTGTATGGATTGCAACTATATCCCAACTTTATTTCTAGGGAGTGGAGTTCTTCGATGAGAAGTTGAATTCCCTGTGCATGGCATGGCTCATTGATCACGGTAGATTTTCTGAGTCTGACGATTCTCCTGAGTGCCATAAGAAAAAAAGATGTATTGAGTTACTGACAACAATGAACCAGAACCTTTAAATTGTATAATTCAAGCAGATGCATTTGCTTAAATTTGAAGATAGCACAGCAGCAGTTGCCTCAGTCTCTCTCCTGTCCTACGCCTTCCCCAGAAGGAGAAAGAGAATTATGCATTCATCTCAAAAAGTTTCTGCTATCAGCCAATTATAAGGGTCTGATAAGATTCTAGCACTCTCTCCCTCTCTACATTTCTCTTGCTTTCTTCCCTCTTCTCTCAATTTCACCTCCATGTGTGTCATTCTGTTCTTATTATGATGTTGTTATTTTTAAGTAGAAAAGGGATGTGAGACTCTTTAACAAGGTAAAGTGTGTAAATCTAAATCCACATCCAAGTCTAAATCCAAGTACAATCTCTAAATACTGTAGTCTTAGACTGTATATTATCAAGAGTAAATTTTTTTTATATGATAATTAAAATTAGACTACATGTACACTACTCTTCTACGGTTTGGTGATAGTAAGATTAAAAAAATACTCCTTTAATTCTCTTTTTATACAGCAAGGGTGCATAAAAAAGTAACAGTAAAGACATTTATAATTTAATGATTTTATTTAGAAGAAATGCTGTTTTTTGTGCTTTTTATTCATCAAAGAATTCTGAAAAATAGCACTAAATCCATATATGTGACGTGACCCTGAACCACAAAACCAGTCATAAGGGTAAATTTTTCGAAATTGAGATTTATACATCATCTGAAAACTGAATATATTTACAGTAGGAAATTTACAAAATATCTTCATGGAACATGATCTTTACTTAATGTCCTAATGATTTTTGGCATATAATTGGCAATAATTTTGACCCATACAATGTATTTTTGGCTATTGCTACAAATATACCCCAGCGACTTAAGACTGGTTTTGTGGTCCAGGGTCATCTGTTTGAATGATTTCTTTAAGATCACTAAAGACAGGAGAAATGGCTGCTGATAATTCCGATTTTTCATCACAATATCTAATATCCAGCTTCGTATAGGCGCCACTTTTGTAGAACAGATAAGACTTTTAAATTGCCTGCTGATCTCGCTTTGATTGGCATGTCAGTGGTAATGAATGTTTCAAATTGATGAGCCTCTTAGTAAATCTTCAATTTAATGGTTGTCAGAATGGTTATGATCTCACTTTGAACCATGCGCTGAGTGGATCCAGCTGTTGAGGTGTTTTGCACGGTGATTTTCAGCGAGGACCTCGACTGTGTGCACACACAATTTCACTCTGACACAGTTGTAGACAAAGGGCCAGATGGGTTACATCACTGGAATGTTCTTGTATATGCTGTGCTGCTGGGCCAGTGCTGTCCTCTTACATAAGAGCTCAGAGCTGGAGCGTTCATGTGTAAATGTGAACTCTTTCTGACAAATACACACAGGTACATCTGCAAGAGATACACTGTGTCAAATGGATTGTCTCCTTTTTTGTGTGTTTTATAATCTCCATTTAAAGCTTGACCTACTTCATGAAACTGCTCATCATATTTTGGCTGATGTGCAGCATTTTATTTTTTTCATAAGCTCTGTAAGGACTATGGATAGGGTTTTGTTTTGAATTTTAAACTATAAATAGGATTGTCCCAGGCAAATTCCCAGTTTTTTGATAAAGGGGGTTATGTCATCGTCAGACAGATTTCAAAAGAGCCGCCGTCTGATGTTTAACAGATTTGTGATGCACAATTTCACAGGATGTTTGTAGATATTTACTCTTCCCAGAATGAAGGTTAAATGGCTTGATTGTGATCTCTATTTGAGTTATTGTGAAGTCAGGTGGAATGTAATCTGTGGCGGTAATGCGGAGCACCAAAACAATGTTGATTATCCCTGCTTGGGTCCAGCTGTCATGCCAGATAATCTGATCAAACAAACCGAAAGCTGAAATTAGCAAAGTAAATATTACAAAACAAGTGCATTATTCATATTATATTATCCTTTTAGGAGAAAAATAAGTGGAATGGTGGACCTCTGTTGGATAACGAGGGTGGTGTAGTGTTGTGGATAAAAATGTGGACTGGTAATGGAAGATTGTAGTTTTAAACCCCTTAAGGGACAATCCATGAATCACTATTGTGTCCTTAAATGGACACAATATTTTATAAAAATGTTTTATTTTATGTACTGGTGAGTCTTCTATATGTGACCCTGAACCAGCCATAAGGGTCAATTTTTCGAAATTGAGATTTATAAGCTGAATAAATAAGCTTTCCATTGATATATGCTTTGTTAGGATAGGACAGGGGTAGGCAAGTTCGGTCCTAGAGAGCCGTCATGGAACATGATCTTTACTTAATATCCTAATGATTTTTGGCATTAAAGAAAAATTGATAATTTTGACCTATACAATGTATTTTTGGCTATTGCTACAAATATATCCCAGCGACTTAAGACTGGTTTTGTGGTCCAGGGTCACATATGACATGTCCAGTTTTCACAATTCTCTTAATCTACGGTAGATGAAGTCCCATGCCATATATGTGTAGAATGGGACTTTGTCGGCTGTAAATGTATTTATTTTTAATGTATTCCTTATTTTAATTTTAATTCATTTTTATAGATAGATTTTTTTTAATAAATATATTTTTCTTTTCTTTTTATTTTAATGTAGTTTTTCTGACAAGCACACACAATCATTCTTTCTCTACTTTTCTCTAAGTGACAATTTGTTTGTGATACTGAAGAATGTATGTCTTCAGTTTGTATGACACTAGGCTGTATATCTGGTGGTTTGTCCTAAAAATGACATTTATCTAAATGTCAGTTTTCATCTTCATCTCAAATCTCGATCTTCATGTTAGCCTGTGAGTTAACATTAATATCTTTGCCTTGTTCTGCAGTGTTTGCCATCCGAGAGGCTGCCACCTGCAACCTCATGAAGCTGGTGGAGAAGTTTGGAGCAGAATGGGCCCAGAACACCATTGTGCCCAAAGTCCTTGGCATGGCCAATGATTCCAACTACCTGCACAGGATGACCACTCTCTTCTGCATCAATGTAAGTCTGGATGCCCTGGCTGGTGCCTGTTTCTTAAACCTAAACGTTCTCCCAGTTGAAAGTCATTTCATTAATATCTGGTGTTGCAAAATGACAACAAATGAAAGCCTTTTTTAAATTGTATTTATTTTTTGGGTCAGGCTCTGTCTGAAGTATGTGGACAGGAAATCACCACCAAGCACATGTTGCCTGTAGTCCTCAAGATGTCCACTGATCAGGTGGCCAATGTGCACTTCAATGTGGCCAGGTGCTTACAGAAGATCGGACCAGTTTTGGACAGCAGGTATCTTTAAATAATAGCTGCCTGTACCCTTTTGTATCTTGATTGCATAAGCAAACAAACCAGCATTACTAACAATGATGTTTTCAATAGTGCTTTGCAGGCAGAGGTTAAACCAGTCCTGGAGAAACTAGCTACAGACCAACATATGGATGTGAAGTACTTTGCTCTAGAGGCTATAAGTGGTACATTTCCTTTTATCTCTTTAACCTTTGAAACATGAATCCTCTCAGAAACATTGTTTCATTCTCCCCTATACTGTTTTTCGCTCTCTCCATAGTTCTTGCCTTGGCTTGACTGACTTCCTCACCACATCCAGTGAAAAGCTGACAACACAAGACCTGTTGCATTATATTTATTGTTCATTTTGAATGATTAAGTATCGTCGTTGTGTTCTTGTTTACTCTCAAAGATATTGAATGATCAAAGGATGGACTTTCTATCAAGTTTTACCTCAAACATTGCTAGCGCAGCTAAGCTCTGCATGCTTGTACAATTACGCATAGCTCTTCGCAAACATCACCCCATGAGCCATTCCAGTGCGATCTTATCGGAATCGGTACATGCCTGCTTCAGCATGCCATTTGCTTTTCTTAGACCGGAGCTCATCCTGCCAGTAGCAGATGGTGCGAAATGCCTGTTTATTTGCTTTAGTAGATTTGCTAGCGCCACAGCACATTGTTTACATGTGTTCCCTCTCTAGAGAGGGAAAAAAAATCTCATGTGCTCACAAGGTTTAACCGCAGAGTCCTCCATGTGCACAGGGCAGATTGTGTTCTGAGCACATGGTTGGATTGCGGTCTCTCTAGAAATTTGCTTTACGCAATGAAGTCACACCTTTATCATGAGCTTTTTCCATCTAGGGACCATATAATTGAATCAGTTGTGCTGTAACACAGGATGCACGTATGAATCCACATCAATTCACGCCGTTTTGCCTGCATTTTTGCGCTCATGTTGGTCATGAATAGCCCCCTTTATAAACTTGTATATTTTCTTGAACCTTTGTGCCAATGAACTATCTAGTTATAGATAGTTAGTTATAACTATCTAGTTATCAGACACTTCATTTCCAGTGATACCGTTGACTTGATTGCAAAGATACTATTTAAACTGAGCTGGATGTTGACATCACTGAATTCAATGATGAACTGTCTTTAACTGAAAAATTAGTGTTTACTATTGTCATTTTGCATTATTGACACACTATTTTCCTAATTAATGCTGTTCAGTTGCTTTGACAATCTGTATTGTTAAAAGCGCTATATAAATAAAGGTGACTTGACTTGACTTATAGTACGATTTATCATTTTGTAAGTTTTTCAATATACATTGTTCTCTCTAAGTGGAAGGCATGTTTAAAATGTGGTCGTGTCATTCGGCTGGTTGGAGGAATATTGTCTTTTGTGGGACGTAATTCAGCAATATTCATTGTTACAAACAACTTGCACCTACTGCATTCTGAGGAAACCCTTTGTTCAAGCTCAATATCATGAGAACTTGTAGTTTTGTTTTTTAACTCATTTGGGAAATTGGTGTACTTTTGGGACTAAATAAATTCAGTTGAACTACATATCCTGCAGTTGTCCTCCTTTGACGTACTCTCACAGACTAATCGTTGCATAATTCTAATTGGAACAGGGGGTGCGTCACACCTGTTAGTATCGTCTCTTAAGAGTTTGTCGTCCTATATTAATTTTAAAGATTAATGTGGAATCAGGTTTTTGGTCTCCTGATTAACCGTTTTCTACAGTTACCTGGCTAGTGATCTTATCGACATCGTTGGATTGCGTGTTTTCGTCACTGAATTTGGCAGGAACTGGTGGTGCTGCTCTCTGGCACGTCTCCTGAGTATCAGATGTCTTATTTAAGCAGAATTATTTCAAAGGCTGTAAAAACTCTTAGGATGGATTTGTGACTAGATCTATTTGGAACAAATTTGAACAGCTCAGTAAGTTATTAGTGAGGGTAGCAAACTCCTGTATCACTTGAATTTGGACCCTTACAATTCTTGAGGCATGTAGTCATAGATCAGGCTGACTTTAGCTCAATGGTTTGCATGGGTATTTAATACCGTCTCATTACCTGAACCTAAATGTTGAGACAATGGACCATTAGTGAGTTGTCTAAACCTCAAATTAATGTCATTGGCAATTACTCTTATAAATGGCCACGTAGTATATTATAGCATGTAAAGCAGAACTAAAAGTGATGTGGACCTCTGTCTTGAAGAAAGTGGATGTTCAAGTAACAGCTTTTTAAGATGCAGTATGATCAGTGTTAAGTCTGTGTACTTCCTGTGTAGCTGAGATGGGTCATTGTTGCAAATTGTTTTCAGATGTTCCTGCTTGTTTAAGCAGGATTATGCAATGGCAGCTGTGCTGAAGATGGCTAATAATCACTTAGTTTAAACATGCTGAAATTCAAAGACTGATGGCACTGAGATGCGGTTACTCCCAAAATGCTGTTTAGTTTCCAGTGTTGAGAAACAGTGTTTCGATGACTCTCTGTTACAACATCATTCAAATGGTTATTTAATGGAAGCATTTCTCCACTCTTACACAAGGTGTTCCCCAAGGTTCAGTACTTGGAACATTTATCTTTTCTTCACTTTCGTTTCTCTGAGCTGATATCATCTATCAACATGGTCTCAACTTTCACTACTACGCTGTTGACATTCAGATTTCAGCACTGGCTGAATCACCACTTCTATCAGCTTCCTTGCTGCATCTATCTGTGGCATCAAGCACTGGATGAGCTCTAACTGAAATTTGGCTATTGTGTGATGATCAGTCAAAGACAAAGTCAGATTCATGAGTCAACATTCAAGTTTAAGTTCTCTAAAAACTATATCTAGGTGTTAGTTGACTCATCCCTCTTTTTAATATGGAACTTGTTTTTAAGATACTATTTTAATCTGCATACCATTGTCTGAAACTCACCATGACAGGCCGGATTGAACATACATGAACAAGCTAATCATGGCCTTCAAGATTACTTAAAAATTACAGGCATCCTGCATCAATAATGCATTAGCCTTTTAACACATTGCTTGAGGAAATGTCAAGTGTATTTCTGTTTGCAGTTTTGACCATGGGTTCAAATTAACTTTAAAGTTGACTTCAGTCAGAAGACAACAAACAATGCAACCAACTCACAAAGACCAACATTCATTGACATGAGGACAACTAAACCTCAGTTGCCTTGGATTGAGATTTTTTTAAAGGTTTTACAAAAACAACCTTCTCTCTGGGAGACCTTCTGTTTTTGTTCCTCTGGCTCTGAACATACAAATACCAATGTTATTTCTAATACTATATATTTAATTATATCTGAATATTCTGAGAATATGTAAAGATTCTAATTGTTACATACATTATTAATCACTGTAGCAGTTCTTGTTTCATTATATTGTAACATACATTGTGTCAACGTTTTAGTTTGTGCTAAACAATTAATTGAGACACATATGTTATTACAAAATGATTATCATATTTGTCTAAACATGCAGAAGAAACTGCTGCAGGCTGATGCAATTCAAAAGACACTGTGCCTGAGGCTTATTTACAGGTCAGCCATCACTGACCTCATTGGATCAGTTGTTTCTGGCCAGTTTAGCAGACCATTTTAATCTGTGCCAATCATGATGCTTCCCTGAGGATAAGATGTCTGATAACCACCTAATTATGCTGTAATAATAGGATTCTACAGCAATGGGACTATTGCATTAACCACATTTGTCTCAGCCATAGCTCCTCAAGATTATCAAGAGTAACACAATTCCACTGTCAACCTGCTGCCATTGTAAGACATAAGTAACGATGTGACTTGTGTTTATGCTTTATGCAAGTAGAACAGTAACCAAAAATAGATTTTGTACCGTAATTTTACACTTTCTCATTGTTCCAGGTAATAATGAAATGGATTGAATTCAACAGAACTGCAATGAGCAGACAGCATGTGCAAAATGGAAATTTTTCAAACTGCTGGACAAGCCTTTTGCCCACAAAACGATCTGATTTGAGTTGGGTAAGACGAGAAATATTTAGTGGTTGCTGATTTCGAGAACAGTGGAAAAAACAACAGTTTCTCCGCTTGTGTAATTTGTGAGCATTCTTGTGTGGTGAGCTGTCTGGAAATAGGGCTCTTGCCTCATATGTGATCAGAATGAGTGAATGAGAGTGAGAAAGAAAGGGCGAGAATGTACATGGAAGTGTGAATGAGAACAAGTGAGCTTGGGTCATATGAAAATCATAGCAGAGAAGAGGAAGCTCCCTTTGAGAGTGAACTCTAAACGCTCTACTGAACACCACTGAACAAATTAATTGAAACGGTCTGATAGGGAATCGAACGTTTCGTAAGCAGCAATGCACATAATTAAACCCCAAAAAACTGCATTAATTTGTTTAATTGACTGATGTAACCTGAAATACTTTGTGATTTTTTTGAGGGCTTGAAAGAGGCTGGGTTTTTTTTTTGCGTTACACTGCTTTTCAATTGTTTTTCTATCTATCTGTTTTTTTTAGTTGAACTCCTTTTGAAATTGCATGAACCATAGCTATTGCAAGTGACTTTTCTTTGCTATTCTGAGGTACATCTGAGTGAAACAGCTTCTCGAATGAGAAAAATTAGGCCAGAACTTGATTTTGTGCATCAGTAGTTGATTGGATTGTTGTTTAGTAATTGTTGCAATGTTTTCATGTGAGTGACAGGTTGCCCAGCCCTTGCAGTGGTGCACATCAAGGAAGAGTCATGTCATAGACCTTAAGTCAGGACAATGCCATATTACATTTTTGGCAGGAATGAAACCAAGCCTGTAAGTTTTAATTCCTATCAAAAATGTTGGGATAGAAGTGGGTTAAATTGTTTTCAATGGATTGTAATGTTGCACCAATTGTTGAAATAGGAACCCTTTCACTTTTTAGGGTTTCTCAGAAGTGGAAGTCATCATAGAGCTGGAAACGTTCATTTATCAAATTTATGCAAAAATAACGATCCTGAACGAAATGAAGATTAATGTCTTGGGTATGATGTGTTTATTGGACCAATCAGATAAGAGTAACTGGAGAGTCAGCGAGAGGCTCATTTGATTGGCTACAAGAAGAAGGTGGCCCCGCCCTCCCCCTCAAGCTTGCAAAACTCAGTTAGTGAGAGAATCGTGCCAAAACTATAAGCGCAGAGAAAAGAAAGACGGAGCTGTACATATCGGTTTATTTCGGGAACTTTTTGCCCCACATGCACAACAAGTCATTTAGACATTTGCAACAGTTTGTTTTTTTTACACATACAGATTGGTTCTACGCAGTCAATTCGTTTTGCAGTTCTTTAAACTGTTGTTTTCACTGTTCACAGGCTTGTAGTGCTTTTGACCGTCTTTTGGCGAAAAACACGTGCCAAAAGTGTAAGCGAGGAAAAATGGAAGTCAGAAGCATGCAGATCATATTTATTTTGCGTTAGCATGAAGCTGCAGTTTCACAATACATGAATTACACTTAGGAGTAACAGAAAAATGCTGCAAATAATTTTTTCTTGCGCTTGAAACACGATGTACACCTTTACAAAGCTTCTCTTGCGCATGCAAATTTAATGTACGCTTACAGTCTTATGTACACTTCCACAAATATTACCCTGCATATGCAAATCTTTTTGACGTCATTCTACCTTCATAAAAAATCCCGTTCAAAAAGAAGGCGCGTGACGCTGTAATCCAAGCGATGACAGTAGTAGACGTAGAGGAGTGGGATGCCCTTTTCCCTTTATAAAGTAGCCTAATTTTAAATTTTTACAATGTTTTTGTAATGTATGAATTATCACGGGCTGTAAAATTATTATTTAAAAAAAAAACAAGTAGGCCTATACTAATACTAAGAGTAAATATGGTTCGAATAGCCTATATTTTAGTAGGCTATAAATATGTGGCTATGTTACAGCTCCCCTTTGAAGCTCTTGTGTTTTTCTCCTTTTCCATCTGTCCAATCCTATTCTGCTCACAGGTGATTGGAGATGAGTTTTGTTCCTGCTTTG